ATACAGAAGAAAGTTCTAAACTTTTGGTCTAGAGATCTACAACCAGAATGATTAATTAGTCTTAAATTTTGCTTAAAGTACACCGAAACAGATTCCTTTTTCATTATCTAAAAACTTTTCCTTTATTAGAGATTATTAGAGATTCCAGAGTAAACTATGCATACTTCAGAGGAGAAAAATGCTATTCTGAGCCATATGCAGCCTCAGAATTTAAAAAACTAAGCCTTCTATACAATTAACTTATAACTTGTATATTCTACAGTTTGACAGCCTCCAAATCTATTCTTGTCAATTATGCTTCCTAACCAAAGTTTCTTGTGAAAAAACAAAGTTCAAAGAAAGAAGTTGAAAAGGAACTCACAGTGTTTATAGGAATTTATAAGCAGTCTTATCCAAATTCTACTGAAGTCATTTTAGTAATTTAAGGCAGACAATTTGCTTTAACAGAGATGATACCAGAATATTTTTGTCATAGTTAGGATTAAGAAGCTCTGAATCATTTTCAAAACCACTTCTTTATATCGCTGAACTGCAAACTGTACACAAACTTTTATTTCCCAAAGAGATAAAAGTACGGATCAGTATTAGTAATCCACATTTGAAGTTACTCAAGATAAGGGTTCCTTAAAATCCTTAATTAAATTCTTATGGATTCCTTTTTTTTCCTCTTTGTGTTTTAAACAGGTTTGGGAAAACAACTTGTTAATCAGAACCAGCAACATTTTCCCCAGCTAATCCATATGATGAAAAAAAAAATTTAAACAGTGTTTCCATATCCTTCTTTTACACTTCACATGGACTGACACAAAATGTTTCTACGTTACCAGGGAGAATCAGTGTTGAATGGCAAAAGAGTAGTAGGCTATATCTATTCTACTACATAGTGGCAGAAGAGATATATTCAAATTCAAACCAATATAAGTTCTATTTATGAAATAAATGAAAAAGATTCTTACAGATTCTTACAGAGTCAAGTCATTAACTTACCTCCATAAGACTAAATTATCCAGCCAACCTCTCTCTTTATCTTTCCAGTAGCTCTTACTGTTCAATCTCAACAAATTGTTTGCCTTCATTTTGAATGTATTTTATATTTCACTCCTGATATATTTCTCTCTGATTTATAGTCAGAACGTTGGCCCTGTCTCTTATAAGACAATCAGACCAGACTTAACTGAAAATTTAACAAGAAAGCAAACAATTACTTTCATAGGCTCTATCTCTCACTTGAGCTCTTCATATACATTTGCAAAGCAGGTTCCTTTACCTTAGAGGCAACTCGAGCTTCAAAAAACCATATGCAGACTGCCAATTTTATCAGTCTCTATATATTCAGCATTTAAAACAACAGGCTTCCAAAACATGACTGGGTCTTTTACATGCTACTCTAGGAGAAAAATTATAACCATACCTACAGAACAAGGTTGTTTTATTTATCTTATGAGGAAATATTAAGCGAGCTGGGCCTGTTTAGCCTGGAGAAGAGGAGACTGAGAAGGGACCTCATTAACAGGTACGAATACCTGAGGGGACAAATGTAAAGAAGATGGAGACAACCTCTTCCTGCTGGTGGCCAGCAACAGGACAAGGGCTAATAGGTACAAGTTGAAACATACAAAGTTTCATCTCCATGTGAGGAAGAACAACTTTCCTGTGAGGGTGACAGAGCCCTGGAACAGGCTGCCCAGAGCGGAGTCTCCTTCTCTGGAGATCTTCCAAACCTGCCTGGATGCCACCCTGTGCCACGTGCTCTGGGTGTCAACTGCAAAGGTAGACAAGATCGCTCAAGCAATGTGCCCAAGGACTGAGATTCTGCAATCCCTCTGATCAACCTGTTACACAGTGGTCGCTCTAATTCTGATTTTCTTTTTCCTTATATTTGATCAGTACCTCCCTTGCTACAGCTATGACTACCTCCTCTCATGCTTTTGCTGGGCACCTCTGAAAAGAGCTGGCCCCCACTTCTGCCTAAGCTTTCCAGAAGCAATTGATTGCAAAACAGATCCCTAATGTTATATTCATGAATACAGGCAAATATAATTTCTCTAGAAAATACAGTGATGATAAGGTTAATTATCATTTTAAACCTGCTAATTTGCCATTCCCTTGTTTTTGCCTTTGCTAACAGGCTGGAAAAACAGAAAACAAGGCCAGGACTCCACTTATTACATGCAAAAATATTCATGTTTGCATTATACCCAGCAGAGGTCATGGCCCATGTTTTTTCTTCCCACTTCACCAATTAAATTAGAAATAAATAATTTTTATGTGCTAGCAGAATTCACTTTGTCAGCATATGCATAGTTCATTGAAAAATTTCTAGAAGTAACATTCTGCAGTTAAAATTTATGGTTGCTCATAATACAACTGACTAAGCTGGCTTAGGGGAAGTTATTACAAAGCTAAAAAGATATGAAGTCAGCGGTGGCAGTATTTAAACTATAATTTCTCCAAGAACACACTGTATAAAATACCTTGTATAATAAAATATCAGTTCAATATTTCTTACACTGTAAGAAATCAGCCTAACTGTATCAAAGACTATCTACATTTTGTTTTGTATACTCAAAACCTACTAAAACAATTTCATTTACTTAACAAGTTTTTTTTCCTCACTGAATATCTTCTCAAAAAAAAAAATCAAGATTCATTGGGTTTATGAGAAATTAAAACATTAAAACATTTCAGTCATTGCTGAATAATATTATAAACATCCTACATACTTCTATTTGTCAAGCTTTAACACCACCACAGGTAACAGACCTTAGTAATGGAAAAGGCAAGTCTCCATGTTAAGGAACCGGGCAGCTTCAAAAGACAATGTTTTCAAATGAGGAATAAAGGGTAAGCTGATCTCTAAGAGCTGTTTTACATAAAGATTCTTAATTTACCCCCATCCAAGGGCATTTCACCACAGAAGCTGATATGGCCTTTTTTAATCTAAACTAAACTTTGTATAACTCTTGTTTCATTCAAGGAAAGCAAAACGGGATGAAAGAAAGAAGTTTCTCTTAAATGGAATCCATCACTTCATCAATTCAGCACCAGCAATTCATCGGTTCAGTGTAACCTAAACAGTTAAGTATTTTATGAATTTGAAATCAGATTTAACAAAATCATCACACTTTTTTAAGTACAGAGTATAGGCACACCCTCATCCCTGCAAGTGAGCAAAAACCTAACTGAATAATAACATAGCTGAGCAAATGGAAATTTAAATAAGTTGTCAAAATGCATGCTTTTAGTCAGGCACAAAAATCACCTTCACCATAATTCTACTTCTATATAATTATTCATGATAATACTTCATTAGGAAGTATGGTTGATGCATTAGCTGCCCCACAATTCCTTTGCTTTCAGTACAGCAATCCTCTAAAGCTAAGTTCTCTGTTCCTAACTGCAAAACATCTGTTCAACAGATTCAATCTACATGTGAAAATTTTAGTTCATAAATACATACTATAATCAAAACCACACTTGTTTTTCCCATGCAAGGACAGCCATATTAACAACCAGAACTTTCTTTTGCCCTATACCATTAGAGCTGCTCAGTCTGAAAGTCTCTATGTAAGAAGTGCTTAATCTGGAGACCCTATCCAGAATGAGCATTAGAATTCTCAGTTCCTGAAATAATTTTATTTGTGGCCAGTTTCACCAGTGAGATTGTGTAGACCATTTCACTGACTTGTGACCCTAGGAAGTTACCTACAAGCAATGCCCATCATAAATAGCCAGCAATTACTCCTCAGCAGATGTAAATGCACTGAAAAAAAGAAAGGGGGAAAAAAGGTCAAATATTATCTTCTCAAGTCGTCATCTTCTTCAACTTACCAAAAAAAAAAAAAAAAAAAAAGTTTAGGAAAGATATACTATTACCTTTCTATACACACACTGTAGCATACACACTGTAGCACACACACATATTATCAGATTCCAGTGAAATCAAAGCAAGTTCCTAGCATCTAAATTATAAATATTTCAAATATTAAAAGGGACATTTTTCTTAAACCAAGGCAGCCTTCAAGCTCCTTTTGCTCCACGTGGCCTCTCCAGGGCAGTCAGCCTCCAGAGGGCAGGTCGGACCGCTACAGGATGCCAGACACCTTGCCAGCCAGTCGCACCCTGGCTCCAAGGCCTGCACTATTTCAAGCAGCTCAGACCCATGGGTCTCCACAACACCGTGACTGTCAGTCATCAAGAAGAACAGAAACACTTATCCTGTGCTGTTCTTCTTCCCCTGAAGAGAGCAGACAAATCTGCTTCACTTACAGGACATTTTTTTTTCCTGCTTTCTTCGTATACCTGATGACTAAAAGGTAATGTAAAAATAAATGAATCACAACAAAAGTTTCAGGAATACAACGTTCTCACTGGCAACACTTATAACAATGCACATAAGGACCTTTCCACAAACAGCTCTTTCACAAATAGCCCAGGCCACTTAAGTGGCTTCCACAACATTAACTGTAAAGAAGATAAAAGTTAGTTCTTTTTAATTACCAAGTTGAAATTAGACCATAAAGGAGCCTGTAAGTTGTAACATCCATTTACTTTCCTTTTTGGTCCAAGGAATCTAGACAGACAACAGCAATAAGTCTTATAACCAAAACCTGTAAGCTTCCTACTCATTGGTTTTAAATTCTCTATAACTGTAAATGTAACTAAAACCGCTTTTTTGCCTCCATAACTTTTCAATTTCCACAGTACCACAATAACTGCCCATTTAAACCCATCCTAAACACTTTTTAATAAAGCCTGGGATCATGTACAGTATCTGAAAATGTTCTTTAGAAAATGGAACTTACTCATTTTATAAATACACAAGTGTACAACAAGTCTTTCACCAACAGCATTCAAAAATTTCTATGTAATACAATATCTAATCTAAGAAATGATTGTAACACAGATAATAAAGCAGAACTACACAGTCGATTTTTATCAGGAAGAGATAGGAGATTTTTTTTTCCAGCCAAAGATACAGAATAGGAAAGATTCTCTGAGGTCACTGAGGCCCAAAAAGTAAAGTGATTATTTAGCTTCTATGTCAGCACAACCTCTTTTGCAGTTCCTGCTTGCCAGAAGATAGATGACTCGGTACAGGGACCTAAGTACAAACAAAAATAGAATAGAAATTGGAAGACTAAGGAAGGTCAAGCAGAGGGATTCTTAAAGGCAGTTCAGCAAATTCTCATCACAAAGAACCTTTCAAAAAATAATGCAAGAACCATTAAATATCCACTCATGTTAAATCTACCAGAAATTAACAGCATATCTTTTCATAATCACAACTACCGATTCAAAATCAAGGTAGTTCCTTCACAAAGTACCTTCTTACTGATTTTAAAATTACTCAGATAGCCTCATTAATGAAATGTTACTTATGAATAGTAATAGTTTTAGGAATATTATGTATTGATTCTGCACCATTTGAGAGCTTTATTGTTTCCATCAGATATTCACATTTCTTCAAAATTCAGATTGTTCAGATTTGTATGAATAGGACAAAAAGTTGAAACTATCACAGAAAATTGTCCTGGGCAACTATCTTTCCAAACTTCCATTTCTGAGCAGACGCCAAAGAGGGACAGAAGAGCAGAGCATTACACCCCGGAGGTGTGTGAACGCTGGTGGTACTGTATTTTTCAGAACTCATGCAGACACGTAACTTTCCACAAAATATTAGGCAGTTATCAGAAGTAAAGCAGTTTGCAGAAAGGCCTGAAAATAATGTCCAAGGAAGCAGTTTACAGGAACTACTTAATATTCTTCATCAAGATAGCAGATTTTTTAAAAATGTGAAGAAATATTTATATAGAAACTGTTCTTGTTTTCACAGTACTTACCTTTTCATATGAATAAACACTTAACTCCTTATTGTTACAGGTGTCCTTAAAAGTATGTTTTTAATTCTATTTTTATATACATTTTAACTAACATGTTTCTAAGTTTTAACGGTTTTTTAATGTATTAAAAATATGTTTCAAACTGATTTTAGTTTAGCCATTTATAGTTCAAAACCTTAGAAGCATTTTACCAGTGAGAATGAACTATGAAAGTACAAAAAAACACTGGGTCTCAATCTTTTTTCTAGATTACAATAGCATACCTGCTTCTATCTAACACACAACCACACATTTTAAATTATAAGTTGACATATAGTTTTGTAAAATGGAGGGACCCTAGCATTTTACCACAGCTCTAAAGTCCTAAAGCTCTAGAAGCTTTGTATCAGTATCTGTGAATGTTTGCAGAAAGAGTCTTGAAATGTCATCATTCAAAATCCAACAGTCCCATTTATACTGTAGCCATTAAACTTTCATTAAAAATTTATTAACCAAGTAAAGAACATAATAATGTCTAAGAGTTCTGTTTATCTAAAAGCCATTTAAAAGTCTGAATTGATACTGCTGCCCCCATTTTGAAAGCTTATTTAAACTTTATTTTGTCTATTAAAAGCTCATTCTACATGTACACACTACATATTTCAAGCTCCAGCATGTTACAACATTTTTTTTTCTACTTCAAGCTGGTAGTTTTGAAATAAAAAAGTGGACAAGATTTTATATTCAGGATATAAGAGCTTTTCAGTAAAGACAAGTAAATGAATGTTGGAGCTATAAATCATTCTTTGACAACAGCTTTTTAAAGCAATGCCTACATCTGTGCACGGTAGAAACCAAACTACGTATACATAAACCGGGAAAGGTGTTCCCTAGACTGCAGTAGGAAGGTGCCATGGTCCTGGGCACCAGGAAATGCGGCTGCAGCGTGGGAGCCCTGGGAGCTGCAGGAGTGGCGCAGCCCACGCTGCGATGCACCCTGCTACAATCACAGAGCAGCTGCCATTCCAACTTTGCAGAGTAAACCTACCTGCAAAAGGCCTACTCATCACACCTACGCATTCCGCAATATCTGACGAAACTCTACAGAAATTCTGGGACCCAGTTCAGCAGAGTTCTTCAAAAATAAAATTGTTAAATTAGGCCTCAGTAATATAGTATGTCCTGATAAGAAATCAATCAAGGGAAAATACTAAAGGATAACGACATTCACAGTTCTCAATCAACTTTAAATTGTGACCTCAAAAGATACAGCATGTAACTTGGAGCTCCCTTAATGCTAGCATCAATAAGCACTAGTTTAAGGTAAAAGGAAAACATTATCTTAAAAAAGCTGTTAAAGAGCTAGCATAAAATTAACTAAGAGTTAATAAGTAATTTATAAAATACTAAACTGCAAGTAAACACTATTCTTTGCTTCCAATTTCTTCCCACTCCCCGCCCCTTTTTTTTTTTTTAATCCTGACTCTGGCTTTACTTCTTAGAAGTAATCTTATCAATAAACCTAAATCTAAAACCAGCTCTAGACCACCACTTGCACACATGCAGTGGTTGATTTCAAATTTGTGTAATTCACAAATAGTGATTTACAGTTACACCTGCCCCAGATCAGCTCAGATGCAGAGTGCAGTACAACAGACACATATGGCAGGTTTCCATAAACAGTTTTAACACCTTAACCAAGCATAAATTCTGCCAGCAGACTGGATGCTCATGCAATCCAGATGCAAAAAAAAAAAAAAAAAATCCATAAATTCACTTAGAACTACACTGGACACTAGAGGAAAATGTTTGGATCTGCAACCAGTATCCCACGCCTCAACACAGGCTGACTGATCCTCTCTCTCTCTAGGCTCTACTGAGACCTCATCTCTTTGCTCAGAAGTTTGGATCCTGGTCATCCACTTACACTGGACTTTGCCAACTGGGATCTCAATAATCCCTTTTACGTGCTGGGATAAAAACAGCACCCATCCAAAATGACACCATACTTCTGATGGTTTGAAAGAGGCAAAGAACTTGCACGGCCCTGGTTAACCCGGTCACTAAAGGAATATTGAGCCTCAGCTCCTGCTCTGCAAAAGATCAGCTTCCCACAACCTCGTGATTTTCTCCTATTACGTAGCAAACAAGCATGGTGTGAATTAAGATTTACGTATCTTTCTGGATATCTCAGTCACACCATTACCTTCTCATCTGAATTTCTGACAGGATCAGGAGAAGCAACACTCGAGCATTACAAGGCTGGCCCTCCCTTTTTCTGCCTTGCCTAAATCAGCCAAACCCCCGACTGTCAGGCAGGCACAGCCTCCATCAAGTTGTTCTCTGATTTAAGAGACACACCTCTAATACAACAATCACCAGCTAAAATTAATACTTTTACATGATCTATATATTCAGTCTTGAGTCAGAAAAATCATAGGGAAACAACTGAAAGGAAAAGGATAAAAAGTAATAACTTTTTTTAACCCAATAAAGCTTCATGTACCAGAAGTTAAGTCTCAAACAACTCATGTACACAGTCACACTGCTAATATGTCCTAAAATCTTTACAATACAATGCAAAATATTACAAGATTTTTAAGTTACAGAATCAGACGCAAACAATTTCAATGTTTCAAAGGAAGACAGGAAACTGAATTCAACTAATAGGCCAAAGCTACTCTCAAAAAACCCATAAGGTGAAGTACTCAAAGATTTTACAGATATACAAAATATCCTTCAATATTTTAACAACAAAATTGTTCCTACAATGATTTTTGAATTATCTAGTCTCCATGTTCTTCAGTGTGTATCTCAATGAATTAAGAAAACCCTCAGTAGAACGCACAAGCACAACACAACCTCCCCCATGTAGGTATAAATAAGTTGGACCAACAATAGGCAAGTTTTCAGAACACATAAAAGAAAAAGAGAGAGAAAAAACAGAGTACCTCAATGCTGCTTCAACACAGAGCACCTACATTACAAAGTCAATGCAATCAGAGCAGATCATTCAGATGATGCCACAAACCTTCAGGAAGTTTAAGAATTAAACTATTTACATTCCTTTCAATCTGTTAATTACTAACCTGGTATGTTTACTGTATTGCCCAGTCACCAGAGCATGACTTGGGCAGAAAGTTGCACACAGAGACAGAACCAAATTTTACAGCAGCCACTAAGTGACCTGAAACAGAAGTCCTTCTGTAATGTTGGTGTTGCAAATAGGAACAAAATCATATCTGTAGCTATACCATTTAGATGGCTCATAGCAGATGATACAGCTTATAAAGCCAGTTCCGTTACAGTCTACGTACTGTGCATTTTACTTACAGAGCCAGAAACCTTAAGCTTAAACCATCCAAGCATGTACTATGAGAATGTATTATATCGTTGTGCCAGTTATGCACACTTTGACGTTCCATTTCTATATTACATTACATTCGAAATGGAGTTTCTTCTGCTGTTAGCCCTATTTTCAGCAGAGAAACACTGCCACCTTTTGGTTTAATACATAGGCCTCCTCATTATAATTGTAAAAACTTTGTTTTTCTGCTAGGTCTGCCCTTCATGGAGAGTTGAAATTCTTGTGATCTTACTCTAAAACTGAGTCAAACTTGAGTGTCATATTTCTCAAAAAAATAAATCTTTCTTTTGCTCACAAATAGCCCAACCATTTAAGAAGTCATAAAATATTTTCTTTATTTTTTCTCTTTACCTCATAGCCCTTTCTTATTGGCAGTTTCTGTTCACGTCTATATTACATCACATAATATATTACATTGTACCCCTTTTATTTTAAAACATTCTTTGAATAACTCTTGAGTCTTGCAAACTAATTATATGAGCATTAATAATACGGTATTACAATTTATGGATGTTCTTTTGTTTATCAGGTATGTAAATACTGATGATTCAAGATTTATATATATTTGTACTGAAATGTACGCAAGGTTACTTACACCAGTGACACAATTTCCCCACGTTGTACATCGTAATTTCGAATACTCCAGTGGTTTAAAAGCACTACATCAGATGTTTGTTTTCCCCCAGGATTCAAAGAAGGCTGAAAAAAAGGAGAGGGGGAAAAAATAAAAACAGCCTTAGGTCACTGTTTCCTCGAAGAATCCTTCATCTAACTCTTACTCCATCAGTGGCTCAATTCCTTGTTAAAAATCAGCCATAACCACCAGTAAGCATAAAAGTACTAAAAATCTGATATATTTTCTCTATTAAACACTGCTGTGTTATACTATGTTGTATGTCATTTATTACAAACTAAAATCCATATCTTTCAATGAATTACTCCATACAAATTAAATTACATAGCATACATGCTTAACGACAATTGTGATGAAGTGTTTATCATCTCTATTGTATAAAGAGAATATATAATATATACTATATATTATATTAATATAATATATAATATATGTATAAAAGAGAATGAACAACACTAATTTCCACAAAATACAAACTTTTTGAAGCTTATGGAAGCTTAATTCATGAAAAATGCCATACATGCCTGTAATAATACTTGTCCTTGCAAATTTTGCAAAGAAATACCAACCAACCAAAAGGCTGTAACATTCTGACACTACAAGTAGGTGTGGACCTTCCAGAACAGGATACAAGGATGCATGAACTCCCACAGAAATACTTAGTGAAATGAGAATGTTGAATAACCTCAACAGTCAACCATTTAAATAAGTAACTAAGGTATCTAGAAGGTACCTCGGGCTGTATGGAGGCCAAAATGTAGCTATTTTGTGTGAGACTGGGAGAGTGACAGTGTCATCTCAAGTCTCAACCTACCAGAACAGCAGTAGAAGGAAGTAGCCCAGTCACAATCCTGGCATCATTGATTTTCATAGAAATTATTTCCTGTACAAACACTCCTTTTACTGAGAAATAAAAGTAACTACAAGGAATTCACACTAATGCTTGTTCATAGAACACTTTTCAATCAGCTTTTTCAGTCTCTTCAAACAAAAGTTTGGTATCTCCAAATTGGTCAACAGATGACCTTTATACTCCAAAATTAGGGGACATATTTAATAAAGCAGATTCTAATCCCATGCCCCTCTGCTTTTGACAGAGTATTGAAATTATGCAGCCCCTCATTTGTTGACAATACTTGCAATATTTGACAAAATTTAATTTTTATAAGCAAGTTTTTCACTATCCACCTCACAACATAGTTTGGTCTTCCACAAGTGCCACCAGTGCTAACTTCTGAGATTCCCTTCCTCAGACTGATTATACCTTTGATGAACAAAATAGGAATATAGGACTAAAATTAACTGTTCTCAACTCAGCTACACAATGTTAAATCTTGATTTACTTTTATTCAGAAAAACTAAGCTCTCAAACCAGGATGGCTACCTAGTATTTACTAATAATTTCAAAAGCTGTTTAGAGGTATTAATTTCTCTTCATGAGAAGTTTCCTCATTCCTCCTTTCTATGCTAGTCAAATAGGTTGAAAAAGATTTATTTCAAAAGGAGTCATGAAAAACTAGGTTTTTAATATACAATAAAGATAATGTGGCAGGGGTCGACAAAATAATAAAGTAAATTTTGACAACATAATATGTTTAGCTACACAGTAAGGGTGAGCCTAGCAACATTGTGAGCTGTGGATACAGGGCAAATTTCTAGATAAGAAAGATCAAAACACATCATACTCGCATCTGCAGAAATATGGTTGGAGTCTAAGCTGCAAGTACACTGACACTCATCAATATTTTATTTACTGGATCTGCAGGAAATAAAATATTGATCTTATCTGGATCTTACAATGTAATCTTACTGCATTGTAAGATCCAGAATAAATTTAAATTAGAAAATAATTAGCAGCTACTGGATTTTTTTTTTTAGTCAGAATTTTCCAACAGGCTATTCCACCTTTATAGCATCTTTCAAAGGACAATATTTTATTCTTACATATAAGCTCACAAACAACTCAAAAATGTATTCATAGTACCAAATGCAAACACAGATGGACCAGAGGCATGCAATGGTACTAACCAGAGGTAAAGAAGTTAATCCAAAGTGAGAGTTATACATAAGCCATATTCCCACAAAGTAAACTACTTAGTATGCAAAGTATCTGCCTTAAATAGTTGACAGAGACCGCCAGCATAAAGGGAAACTTTAACCTGTTGCTCCAAAACATACTGCATTTCACATCTGATACTTAAAAGAAACATTTACATAAGTGTTCATAAACATGTCATGCAACTAAAATAATACAGAATTAATCTTACAGAGGAACACACCAAAAGATGCAAATAAATTGACTTTTTCACAGTCGGAGCTAGTTTCAATAGTCTTTTTACAGTACTGCCTGGTTTGCATTACTCTAGTTAATTCCTACTGCTTTATGTATTTAAACAGAAGAAATGGTTTTCAGTGTAAATATATTTAGATATTAAATAATCATTCTAACTCAAAGCACTGTAAACATTATGCCACCATCACTTGCTGTTTTTAACAATATATTTGCTCATGTAGTTTTGGCATAGAAATTTCATCACACATTACGATTATGTTTGAAGGAATATAGCAATGTAGGACAATCTGTTCTTTCTTTCCCACAAACTAATACTGATATATTGAAAATGCAATCACAGAGAGACAAAAATACTATTCTGTTAGAGGAAGGAACGCATCGGGAAGCAAAACCAGGAGGAGACAGCTTTCATTCTATGTCAACAATTACAGTCTTCTGTAAATGATCTTCTAAACCTTTCAGAAAGAGTTTCTTTCTAATAATAAAAATAGTGATTCCACCAGAAAAAGCAAAAAAGTATAGAAAGAATTTAATGCTGTGTTCAGAGAGAACTCATTCTCCAGGGTATTTTTACTAGTAGTAAGAGCTCAAGCCTAGCAAAACAAGAAATACATCTTCCAAAAAAATGGTCAACAAACGGGCTCACAAGGACTCATATTTTTATAAATAACAAAACACTATGTTGGCTTCTTCCTTTTTTCTAATTTGAAGCTTTATAACTTGTTTGTCCAAGTTCTTTGCATAATGGCTGCTACAAGCCAGACATATAGGCCTTAATTTGTAACCATAGCACAGAAGTCACAAAACATTTCCTCTTCCCAATTATTAACTAATCTAGTGCTAAAAGCATGCAAATTGAGATCCTCAGATATGTGATGAAGCCTCACAGGACATGAGGTGCTGTAAGTAAGAGGGAAAAAGCATGCCCTTTAACTATAAATAATGATTAGCTTCACAGTTGTTATGCTGCTAGTGAACACCAGAGTGTCACAACTTATTTCCTTACAGTTTGAGGAAAGAAAGAATATTCATATGAGCTCACAGGGCTAGACGCAGCAGTCCTAATAAGAAAGAAGAAACTACCAGAGGATAATTACAAATGCTATTATGCATAATGTAACAAAACTTTCAGTAACGTTTGCTGCTGAAATAAAAGTGCTTTGTCAGCAATCACTAATCAGACTACTTGCTAGAATACTTGGCATTAAGCAGTTTGTAAGAGAACTTGCATATGAAGCCTGCATATGAGCAGACTCAGCAGGGGCCACGATAACGAGTATAGAAAGACAGCTAGAGGTTCAAGAAATATATCACAAATCAAATTCTTGGGAATCAGACCATGGCATTTTGGAACTGAAACAATAAGATATACATTGGAAGCATGTAACTGATAGATCTAAAGTTACATGCTGACTGCACTTCCCTTTCCCTCATACCTACAGCTCTCAGATGTGCTCCACAGAGATGGTTCTCCAGAGAACATAGTGCAGAGATGGAATTCTAAAGCAATGGCTGGTTTTCCTTCAGGCTATACAGCAAAAGAGGGATGTAGTTCTTGTAACTATGTCCCTACCACAGCAGGGACATGTCTAATTAACTGCATGTCTAAGAAATCCTGGCAAGGAAATTAGTATCTTATCACAAGCACCAGGATTTTTTTTTTTTGTAATATGAAAAAAAATCGTATAGAAACTATTTGACAACATATATTTTTCAAGTCCTAGTAACAGAAGAAAGGAAACAGCAGTATTTGTTCATTCTCTTCTAGGTGTTACATGGCATATTTGTATTATTTGATTAGCTGATAAACATTCACTATAACCAAAGCAATAGCAATGAACATGCATACCTGATGAACACATGCATTTAGGTTCATATTAAATTCATGCCATTCTCTTTACTGAAATACTGCCACATTTCTTTATTAGTAAGAGCCAGTATGGCAAGAACTGGTTTTGCCTTAAAAACAGAGTAATAGATCTGTAAAAAATGAATAAAGCTGCTTTGTGAGTCACCAAATTAATGTCCCAAAAGACAAAAAGTAGTGCTCAAAAGAGAAAACTTTATTTCTAAGTAACCAACAAATTAGCAAAAATATATCTTTATCACTACCTATCTATATACTTTTATTGGGAAAAAAATGCTGAGTCGTCTTCTTGAAAGTTTGTGTTTTCACATTACAGAAATATTTGTGTGACAAAGTGGAAATTAAATTATGCTATGCTACAATTTCATCATTTGATACCTTGATCTTTCCACCCTGCTATTGTCAGTGAGTGGTCACCTTCATACTTTCCAAACAGAGAAAAGGCATTTCCAGCAATACCTGCATTGATGCTCCTTCCACTCTTGCTACACAGGCAACTCTGTCTAGGAAAGTCACTGTTACCGGGACAGCAACAAAGAAACCTTTAAAAAAGGCTTTAATGTATTTTCTCCCAAAACCTTGAGCTTGTGCCATAATCTGAAAAAGATCAAGAGGAAAAAAAAAAGTTATAAAACAAACTTTAGGAAAGAGTACTGTTGCTTGTAATCAAGCAATGAACAGTTAAAGATTAAGTTATTATCTGCTAGGGTCTCCCCACATCTATAGTGAAAAGATGAATGGCCATGTGAGAATGAAGAACAGAAATCTTCAGCAGAATTTGTAGACGACTGCACAAAAAAGAGTTTGATATTCGACATTTACCTTTTAGCTAGTTTGACCATTTCTTGTGATAGCGTGCTACCAGAAATATTTCACAAAAATGACTCAGTAATAACAGAACTGACATGACCAGAACAAACTTAATTATGTTCTCCTTAAATAAATAAATAAAGAAAGATTAAAGAACATTCAACTGAAGAGTACACCCAAAACTCTGAAATTAATCTTCTCCCCACAGAAAAGTAATTATTGCATTTGTGACCTCCAAAGAAGGCCTATTCTACATAAAGGAAAAGCCAACACTGTAGCACATACCATTTCTTTATTAAATACTCTCACAGGCAATAGACATGCCTTATTTCCACATTGTGGTAACTGCAAACATGCAACAACATCCACTGAAATTGTCATCTATATCATGGAGACATACAGTAACACAATGATACCTTTTTGATTACTCACACCAGAAAGTTAAAAGAAAAATGTGGCAGGCTAGGCCGATAAATAATGAAATACATGGCGACATTCCTCCTACTCACCACTGGTTACCCTATCTCCGATTTCTTTTATTTACCTCGAACCAGAGGCATTGCTGATGAGGTTTATTTTTCTTGCCTGTAGTCCGATTCCCAGCCTCTCCCAACAATCCTACTAAGCAGCTCTCACTGTAGGCTCACTCCACAGCAGGCCACCCTTACGAATTCTTTGTGCCAAGACTGAGCAGGCCAGTCTGGGTGGCTTTTTATAGGAAATATTCAGTAATAATATCAGTTCCTGAAATGTAATTTGCAAGAACAACAAATATAGTTACATAGATGTGTGCAGTAAGTTTAACTGGGATATTCCAAGATTGCACCATTTGAAGGGATGTTTTTATTTAATTAATTAACCTTGTAACTTCAAATGTGCATGTGACAGGGTCTGAAAGCCCTCTCATGCACACAAGGCCAATGTGCACAAGTGTCTGAAAGACATGTGGGAGACACTGCCTGAATATGACTGCATGGAAAACGGCTTCAGCAGCTCTGAAACGGTCAGTTTTCAATTTAATAAACTTCTTTTATCAAAAAGACAAGATACCTCAATACCTTATGCAGTCGTTTACCTATAGGTAAATCCAGATTAAACTGTAGTTTTTATCTATTGGATTTGATAGATATCAAATGCTCTGCTCCTATCACATGGAAACCCTGACAAACTGCATCCTAGTCAAGGGTACAGAATTATTTTACAACAAAAAAAATGGAAAACATAAATATATACAAATTGCTTCAATCCTCTAACAATAGAACTTTACTGTATAATAAGTTTTAGCTTGTTGCATTTTCAGAAATACAGAAGCAAAGAACTATTTTGCAAAATACAAACTCAAATCACTTTGATGAAATAGTCCTAAAAGCAATATTTCTGTCATAGATACAGCTTCTTAATTTTATGAAGCCTTAGGCTTGAGAGAAAAAAGTCGGTTTTGCAAAGTAAACTATCAGCAATTTCTTTTCTTAAATTCTTTATAGATATTAATAGCTTTTCAATGACAAGATCTGCCATCTAAAAGACTGGATGAATAATACTATCTTTCTACACATTTCACTAAAAGTTTGAATTTGTATCAACAGTTTGCACAAAGGATTTGGAATAGGTTATGAAACAGAACAAGAACTCACCAATTCAAAACATTTGTTAAAATACAGCACTTCTATCTTATTGTTTATGAAAATGTTATTGAAACCAATCCACCAGGAGAGGCTATTGCCTCAAACAGCGGAGATTTACCTTTAGAATTACTTCATATAAAAGTAGAATCGCTAAAAATCCCTTTTCCTTTCTGTTTAACAAAGGACACCATTTCATGCCATGCCTTTGTTGATACCCCTTTCTCAATCCACTGGCATCTCTGCCAGCAAGCGTAAGGTGACCTCTCACTCTTTCGTTAGGAGGTACTTCCAATTATCTTGCATTGCCACAAGGGAAGAGCTTGAATACAGGCAGCAGGAAGACAGTTGGCAGCCGTCATCAGCTTACAGCAACCGTCCATGTGAACGAGTAATCCTAAACTGATAATGTCTGATGAAAATCTACAATTATTTCTTGTATTATACAAGGATACTTAATTTTCAGGTGGTCTTAAGGGGGTTAAAAAAGAAGTCACGAAAAGCATTTACTGCAATTGCAAGAAAGGGTATGGGAGACATAGAATAAAGACCCTTACAAATAAAAGTCTGTTTAAAATATTTGTTTGAAAATAAATAAAACATTAGGTAGCTATCACTGTTGGAGATAATATTCTACTCTTGGAGATAATATTCTATAACCTTGATTGCTCTAATTAGCAGGTTGGAATATGCATTTGCTTTAAGAAAACCTATTTTGAAAAAAAAAATGCTTTGAGATTTACCATAGGAAATATTTTTACTTTTTAATATTTTGATGTGATAAATTTGAAACACCCCCCCTCAATGGTGGCACCGCTCCTTAGGTGCAGCGGAATGGCAGGGAGGATGGTGCTGGCCTCTTTCCACTGCTAGCCACCAACAGAACTAGAGGAAACAGCCAGGAACCGAAACACCAAAAATTCCGCAGGAACCTAAGGAAAAATTTCTTAGCAGTGAGGGTTACGGAGCTCCGGAACAGGCTGCCCACAGAGGCTGTGGAGTCTCCGTTTCTGGAAAACTTCGAGGCCCGCCTGGATGCCACCCTGTGCCACGTGCTCTAGGCGACCCTGCGCTTGCAGGGGGGTTGGACTAGATGATCCCTAGAGGACCCTTCCAACCTTAAGCATTCTAGGATTCTATGATTCTATTTCTCACTCTGGGGTGCACTAGGAAGAGCATTGCCAGCAGGTCTAGGGAGATGATCCTCCCCCTCTACTCAGCCCTGGTGAGGCCACATCTGGAGTACAGTGTCTGGTTATGGCCCCCAGTACACAAGGGACATGGAGACCCTGGAGAGAGCCCAGGGTAGAGTTGTGAAGATGATGAGGGGATGGAGCATCTCTGCTATGAGGGGAAGCTGAGAGAGCTGGGCCTGTTCAGCCTGGAGAAGAGACGGCTGAGAGGGGATCTGATCAGTGTGGGTAAATACCCTATGGGAGGGTGTCAGGAGGAGCAGGCCAGACTCTTCAGTGGTGGCCAGTGACAAGACAAGAGGCAACAGCCACAGACTGAAGCACAGGAAGTTCCACCTGAATTGTGAGAAAAAACGTTTTGACTGGGAAGGTGACAGCCCTGGAACAGGCTGCCCAGAGAGGCTGTGGAGTCTCCTTCTCTGGAGACCTTCCAAACCCACTTGGACAGGATCTGTGCCACGTGCTCTAGGTGACCCAGCTTGTGTAGGGGTGGGTTGGACTAGACGATCTCCAAAGGTCCCTTCGAAGCTACCTTAATCATTCTGTGACTCTGTGATCATAAAAAAGCGTCAATATCATATATGCATATCACTTATATTTTAAAAAAATGATGTGCAGAGTTTGTCCGAAGTGAAATAATTTTTTTTTAGTGGTTGAAGTAAGCAATTCCAAGGGTCTCAACTATTTTGCATTTAGCATCTGAGTTTATAGTTTTTTTTCCAGTGCTCCTTTAATTTTTTTTCCATATAAAGACATGCTAACAAATTCAAAAGACATAACATGACTTCCTAACACAGAATCACAGAATGGTAGAGATTGGAAGGGACCTCTAGAGATCACCTAGTCCAAGCCCCCTGGCATATAAACAAAAGATGGCAAACATACATCCTATTTTAAAACTGTGAATAAATCCAACTAATAAATCAGCAAATACCAATGGGTTCAAGTGCTTTCAAGCAACAACAACAAAAAACACCTCTTATGAAACATCAGTTTAATGATGCTGAGTGAAACTGTCAGGTATGTAAAATTTAACAGACTTCTAGAATATCTGCAGATTTTCAGAGCATCACACTTTTCAGACGGAAATTCTGAAATCCAGCACCGTGACTGTCCTACACTGACAGCTAAGCATGTAACGAGTTTGAAAGTATGTCAGTAGAGCAAGAGAAGGATTCTTCCTGAATATATAAAGAATTGCGGTTTCAACAACACAGCACATATTTCTGGATCTCTGCCCAGTCAATAACACCTTGATTAAACATGAATGAATCACAACATTCAAAAGACGATGCCAGAGAGAGAAAACATATAAATAATAACTTAGAGGTACATCTACTACTTCAGGATTTAAAAATTATACTTGTTTTAGGGGAAAAAAATAAATAGAACTGTCAAATTTCAAAGATAACCTTGACAACTTGTTTGAAATGACATTAATCAGAAAAATGAAAGATCAAAAATACTAGCATAGGTTAAAGCATTAAGCATTTCACATTGTGCAGCTCAGAGATCATGGCAGATGGAGCACAGCATTATCTGGACTGAAGTATTTGGTGCACAAAAGGTCCAGGGATTAAATGAGCCTCTGGTGGGTACTACAGCATATGGAGCAGAGATGCTGTTTAGATAGCTCTCTACATATAAAATGTTTGTTTTTCTTACACTTGCCTGAAGATAAGATGCTGTTTATCAAACAGCCTGCAGAAACCCATCAAGTAATACGCAGAAAGCCCCAGGTTACAATATATTTGCAAATCTAACTACTTAAAAATTACCCACAGAAGTATAGGAACATAGGAAGATAGGAAGCATAACTGTAAAAACAAAGCATTAGCATCCATCCACAAAGGAACCAAATCGACCCTCGAGGTGCTTCTTCAAAACAGCATGTGAGAGAACAGGAGGGAGGGAATTACAACCTATATGCAAAACAGCTACAAGCTGAAAGGGTTAGGCTAATTTAAGA